AAAGATGTTTGGGGGAAACCTTCCATAATCGCACTACAACAAGTGCCTGAGTGTCTAATAGCAATATACGACCAAGTGAGTCTGTAATTGCTGCCAATGTGCCACTAGGCGATAAGGTGAGCTTCTCACCTTTTCTTGGATAATCCTTCAAAGATGTCAACGGAGAAGCTGTAAAATTCATGACGCAAGTCATGCAAGAAGATTTTCACACAGTTGAAAATAGCTTGTAAGTACAACATTATAATATCCAACACAAAGCGACATTTACTAAATCTAAATTGATAATAAACAAGTGATTACTATATGATATCATTTTCACCTAAGAACGGATCTAGTTGCTGATTATCTGTTTCCTACTATTATTCTGCACTTAAGAGTCGAAGAACATGTTCCAAAAATTCAGAAACTTTCTATCAATTGATTTCAGTAGAACAAGTTGAATTGCCAAAGAAAATTAAAAATGGAAAGAAGAAAAGGAAAAAATGGAGTCCCGTGTTGAAGATGGGGAATCAAACTGCAGGAAAGTTGTTAATCCTTAAAATTGTTTCCCATAATCATGCAGCTACTTCCACTATTCAACGTGCACATACAGATATGTTAAAAACTACTGCACATTGCATTTCCTTTCTTTCTTCTTAATAAATCTTTTTCTTTTATTAAAAAAAAAAACAGTTGCTGAATCTGTAAACACTGAAAAACGTGGTGCTGTATGATTTGATTACTTCCCTCTAAATCCAAGGTTCTGGCCGTTTAGACGAGGACCAATAAAACATAATAATGACAATTTTTACCTCGAGCAAAAGCTTGAGGCTTTATATTTGATTTTCTCGGTGAATTTTGTTCACTCCGCCAAATCATTTTAGAAAAGGAAGCTATTGTTGAAAATGCTGCAGGAACAACTTTAGATATGATAGCTCCCACTAAAGACCTACTTTTGTCCTCTGACAGCCTACATTAGAAAGAAGTAGAATCTAGTCAACATACCTGTAGGAGAAACAAAATAACAAAGAAAGCAATTTTGGCTGGAAAGGATGGCAATACTATTTGCGACTACAGCAGTGCAAAATCCCAGCATACCAACCTAAAGGCTGAGATCACAGCATTCTCTCCGACAGTGATTGCACAGTAATAGCGCTGACTTGACTGCCCAAGAATAAAAGTAGCTGAATTCAAAACCAGAATACTTCCATCACTTGAGGGGAAAAAAGAGTTCAGAAGCATTGCTGTGAAGAACCACAAAGTAGCCAACCAACATGACAACGCTGGGAATGATGAATGATTAACATCTAATGGAAGGAAAAGTCAATAAACTATTGCCAATATTTGACTAACATTATCTTAGTCCACCAACATATGCTTTTAAAGAGACTAAAAGCATAATCTT